GTTATCGCTGAATAATTCAATTTACTAAACCAAATGCTTTGCTTTTGTTTACTCGTGCTCAAGTATTCAATTTCACCTGATTTTTGAAGAAATAATATTTCCGTAAATTGTCAACGATTGATTGAACAATTCTTGGTAAGCCACTAATTTTTTGTCGTTAAACGATTGACTAATAAAAAACAAATAGGACTTCAAAACTCAAATCGCTGAAAATTTAATTCAATATCAACGTTAAAGCAAATTTAGCTGTAAAGTTTTGATTTTGATAAGCTGCTCATTCTGGAACTCCTTTTACCGGCGGAGCGCGTATGCTTCTCAAATCAGTGCGAACTGGCCAAGGCCAATAGCGTGGCCAGTCTTGTCGCAGCTTTCGAAAGGGTGGTTGATACGGGCGCGTTGAAATTCACGACTTTTGGCGGTTATTTGTGAGAAAGTGATTAAAACAGTTTTAGCTTGGTAAGCTATTGAACTTTTACCTATTAAATAATTCTTTAACATTTGCTTTAGGGCTACTTAACTATTTCCCTCTTTTTCATCTAAGTTTTGCTTTAATTGTGCTTTTATACTTATTATCCCTGTTAACGAATAATTTCTTTTTTTCTATGAGATCGATGAACATATTTGTTTATTCGTCAACATTAAATAGAGTTTTCGCTCATCAATATACCTCAAACGACCAGTTCCTTTCATATCTCAGGGCACATTTTGTCAGCATTAATGTTTCCCGCTTTTTTAACCGCCATTTCGTTTGGCGGTAGTTATTGCCTTAACGACAATAACTAGCACTGCAGGTCCGGACCTAGAAAATTGCAAATATTTACAGTTTAATAAGAAACAATTCACCTGTTTATTTTCAAATTTTAAATTTAATTTTGTTATTAGCAAGTTTGCAAGCAAGTTGAGTGCATTTACTTTTGTTTTTATGGTTCTATATTTTAGACTTTACTGTTGTTAATATTGTAAATTTTTTATATTCTCGCTAAATTTCCCTAACATTTTATAATTCAACTTCCTGTA